GCTGTTACAGCCTTCCCGAGGCTGCCGGCCGGGAGCCGCGGGGCGCCCGCGCCCGCCTCGCTCCCGCTACACCGCCCCGCCCCCACTGCGCCGCGGCCGCAGGCCCGGAGTGAATGAACTTGATTCCCGGGATTTGGAGGGAGGTGGTTTGCCTTGCACCCTTTCTACACACCCGTACACACGCGCGCGCGCGCCCGCCTTCCCCCAAATTCCGGTTTTCTGCCCGGGGTGGGTGGGGAAGAGGTGGCAGCCAAGGTTGCCCAGACAATGGAGAGAGGAAAAGTGCGTGCCTGGGGCTCGGCGTCTACCTAGCGGGGGACTGCCGAGGGTTGCTGGGGCCCATCAAGGGGCCTGGACTGCCCCATCCCCGGGGCGGGGCCGCCCCCGCTTCCAACGGTGCTGTTGGGCGGTTTCCAGGCTCGCCACTGCTTCCCCTTTCCTCTCTCCCGCTCTCCCTCCCTCTCCATTTTCCCCTCAACTTTCTCCTCTTGTCTCTCCCGCTTCTGCCCACCGTGCCCCCCTTCCCTCCCCAGCGGACCTGAAGGAACCAGTGACTTTTTCCTGCACCAAGTGGGAGTTATCCACATCAAGCATTTCACAACGACACATCAAGAAAAGTAGGCAGGTTCAAGTCAACCATGAAATGGTCACTTTTTAACCCCGTCCTGTCCTCATTAGGGAAATGCTCAAACACAGTCCGTTTTCAAAGAGCGCTCTTAATGAGGCGAGCTTGCCAAGTCTACCAGCTGCAGCCCCCGTAAACCCAGAGTCCAAAGAAGAAAGGCGCTAGGGGGTGAGGAGGGAGGCCCTGGGAGGGGAACGGTGGGTCGGGGAAGACAGGTAAAGTCGGGAAAATAGCCAGAACTCCCCAAAAGTTAACCCTTCCAGGCACAGGCCACTGGGAGTGACCTCCCGCTCACTCTACACACATACACACACACACACACACACACACACACACACACACACACACCCTGCTAAATCCTGGAGTCAGCGTTCTGACAACGTTAATTTCCTTTGTGCGGGTCATTTCTCCTTTTAAAAAGCTGGGATAAAGTTGACAGTCTTTATAGATGAAAGAAATGACGTGACAGTCGGGGTTAATCCAAATACGTACTCATTTCTCTCGCCGCACCTCATCGTAGATTTTTAAAAATTAAATAAATAAAAACAAAGCATCACTTCGCATTGCACATTATGCTAGATCCGTTTTCTCACCCTCCCCGATTCTGGGGGGTGGAGGGGGGGTGGGAAGCTCTACTGATAATACCAGCTTTAACTACTGGAGTTTTCCTTTGAACAAATATTCGATTTAACTGGAGCTAATTTACCATAAAAGACATTCCCCTTGGCAGGAAT